TACTGTACACAAGGCAGGTGTCAACAAATATTATTAAATTACTTTCTAAAAGAGGCCTAGACCCCCTCTGCTGTTTTTTAAAAATATGTTATTATATTGCCAACATTTTGCTACCCTAACATCAAAAATCTCTGTAGATGTTTTCTGCTGCTTTTATCCTCTGGCTTATCTAATGGATATTTTCTATCAGATTTTCTAGGGTGGGAAAGGGGGTTCTTCATGTCCCCCACCCCAGCCCAGATTGGCTGAATCGGCAGACTCAGTTCTAAGCCAAAGTCCTAAATTACAGCTGGAGAAGCTACATTGCTAACAAACTCTGCAGGTAACTGCTGCACTGGCGAGTTTGGCACCCATTCTTTGGTAACACTGCTCTGGGTCCAGATTCTCTCATCATTTCAGCCCGTGCTGCGTTCTGCTTTTGCTCTTAAGGCTGCAATTTTTTCTTTGGCCACCTGCCCTTTAAGGACAGCTGGAAGGCCACCCCAGCTGCCTAGTTAAGAAGCTCATTAATCTCATCTTTATCTTCCTGGTCATGCCGACCAACCCAGCTTTATGGGCCACAGATTGTCACAGCTCTCTGATCCAACTTCATAGACAGTGCAAAGGAAATAGCCCAAGATTTGAAATAAAGAAACTAGAATGCATCTGCACACAATTGTTTGCTATCTGTGTGACCTTGAAAATATTACTTAACTTTTCATTGCTTCAGGTATAATAATAATATCTGTCCTCCTTATCTCAGAGATGTGAGGATCAAATGACATGATGTATTATGCCAGAACTTTATAAACTGTAAGTGGATATATACATATTAATTATAAATAATAACCTCAGCCATCTTACTCTTTGCATGATGGGGGGAACTATTTACACACTGATGTCTTTAATAAGAAAGGACATTCTTCCTAGCATTGTCTTGTTCCTTCTTTTTAAAAAAATTTATTTACTATACTTCAAGTTCTGGGATACATGTGCAGAACATGCAGGTTTGTTACATAGGTGTATATGTACCATGGTGGTTTGCTGCACCCATCAACCCGTCATCTAGGTTTTTAGCCCCACATGCATTAGATATTTGTCCTAATGCTCTCCCTCCCCTTGCTCCCCACCCCCGACAGGCCCTGGTGTGTGATGTTCTACTCCCTGTGTCCATGTGTTCTCACTGTTCAACTCCCACTTGTGAGTGAGAATATATGGTGTTTGGTATTCTGTTCCTGTGTTGGTTTGCTGAGAATGATGGTTTCCAGCTTCACCCGTGTCCCTGCAAAGGACACGAATTCATTCTTTTTTATGGCTGCATTGTATTCCATGGTGTATATGTGCCACATTTTCTTTACCCAGTCTAACATTGATGGGCATTTGGGTTGGTTCCAAGTCTTTGCTATTGTGAATAGTGCTGCAATAAACATATGTGTACATGTGTCTGTATAGTAGCATGATTTATAATCCTTTGGGTATATAACCAGTAATGGAATTGCTGGGTCAAATGGTATTTCTGGTTCTAGATCCTTGAGGAATCGCCACACTGTCTTCCAGAATGGTTGAGCTAATTTACACTCCCACCAACGATGTAAAAGCGTTTCTATTTCTCCACATCATCTCCAGCCTCTGTTGTTTCCTGACTTTTTAACTACTGCCATTCTAACTGGCTTGAGATGGTATCTAATTGTAGTTTTTATTTGCATTTCTCTAATGATCAGTGATGATGAGCTCTTTTTCATATGTTAGTTGTCCACATAAATGTCTTCTTTTGAGAAACATCTGTTCATATCTTTCGCCCACTTTTTCATGGGGTTTTTTTCTTGCAAATTTGTTTAAGTTCCTTGTAGATTTTAGATATTAGACTTTTGTCAGATAGATAGATTGCAAAAATTTTCTCTCATTCTGCAGGTTGTCTGTTCACTCTGATGATAGTTTCTTTTGTTGTGCAGAAACTCTTTAATTAGATTCCATTTGTCAATTTTGGCTTTTGTTGCCACTGCTTTTGGTATTTTAGTCACAAAGTCTTTGCCCATGTTTATGTTCTGAATGGTATTATCTAGGTTTTCTTCTAGGGTTTTTACGGTTTTAGGTTGTACGTTTAAGTCTTTAATACATCTTGAGTTAATTTTTATATAAGGTGTAAGGAAGGAGTACCGTTTCAGTTTTCTGCATATGGCTAGCCTGTTTTCCCAGCACCATTTATTAAATAGAGAATCTATTCCCCATTGCTTGTTTTTGTCAGGTTTGTCAAAGATCAGATGGTTGTAGATGTGTGGTGTTATTTCTGAGGACTCTGTTCTGTTCTATTGGTCCATACATCTCTTTTGGTACCAGTAACATGCTGTTTTGGTCACTGTAACCTTGTAGTATAGTTTGAAGTGAGTTAGCATGATGCCTCCAGATTTGTTCTTTTTGCTCAGGATTGTCTTGACTATGCATGCTCTTTTTTGGTTCCATATGAAATTTAAAGTAGTTTTTTGTAATTCTGTGAAGAAAGTCAATGGTAGCTTGATGAGAAAAGGATTGAATCTATAAATTACTTTGGGCAGTATGGTCATTTTCACGATATTGATTCTTCCTATCCATGAGCATGGAATGTTTTTCTATTTGTTTGTGTCCTCTCTTATTTCCTTGAGCAGTGGTTTGTAGTTCTCCTTGAAGAGATCCTTCACATTCCTTGTAAGTTGTATTCCTAGGTATTTTATTTTCTTTGTAGCAATTGCAAATGGGAATTTACTCATGATTTGGCTCTCTGTTTGTCTGTTATTGGTGTATAGGAATGCTTGTGATTTTTGCACATTGATTTTGTTTCCTGATACTTTGCTGAAGTTGCTTATCACCTTAAGGAGTTTGGGGCTGAAATGATGGGGTTTTCTAAACATATAATCATGTCATCTGCAAACAGAGACAATCTGACTTCCTCTCTTCCTATTTGAATACCCTTTATTTCTTTTGCTTGTCTGTTTGCCCTGGCCAGAATTTCCAATACTACATTGAGTTGGAGTGTTGAGAGAGGGCATCCTTGCCATGTGCCAGTTTTCAAAGGGAATGCTTCCAGCTTTTGCCCATTCAGTATAATATTGGATGTGGGTTTGTCATCAATAACTCTTATTATTTTGAGATATGTCCCATCAATACCTAGTTTACTGAGTGTTTTTAGCATGAAGAGGTATTGAATTTTGCCGAAGGCTGTTTCTGCATCTGTCGAGATAATCACGTGTTTTTTGCCATTGGTTTTTTTTTTTTTTTTTTGGTTACATTTATTGATTTGGGTATTTTGAACCAGCCTTGCATCCCAGGGATCAAGCTGCCTTGATCATGGTGGATAAGCTTTTTGATGTGCTACTGGATTTGGTTTGCCAGTATTTTACTGAGGATTTTCACATCAATGTTCGTTAGGGATATTGACCTAAAATTCTTTTTTTTTGTTGTTGTATCTCTGCCAGGCTTTGGTATCAGTATGATGCTGGCCTCATAAAATGAGTTAGGGAGGATTCCCTCTTTTTCTATGATTGGAATAGTTTCAGAAGGAATGGTACCAGCTCCTCTTTGTACTTCTGGTAGAATTCGGCTATGAATCTGTCTGGTCTTGGAATTTTTTTTCTTGGTGGGCTATTAATTAGCACCTCAATTTCAGAACCTTTTATTGGTCTACTCACCTCAATTTCAGAACCTTTTATTGGTCTACTCTGGGATTTGAGTTCTTCCTGTTTAGTCTTGGGACGGTGTATGTATCCAGGAATTTATCCATTTCTTCTAGATTTTCTAGTTTATTTGCATAGAGATGTTTATAGTATTCTCTGATGGTAGTTTGTATTTCTGTGGAATCGGAGATGATATCCCCTTTTTCATTTTTTATTGCATCTATTTGATTCTTCTCTCTTTTCTTCTTTATGAGTCTTGCTACCAGTCTATCTCTTTTGTTGATCTTTTCAAAAAACCAGTTCCTGGATTCATTGATCTTTTGAAGGGGTTTTTATGTCTCTATCTCCTTCAGTTCTGCTCTGATCTTAGTTATTTCTTGTCTTCTGCTAGCTTTTGAATTTGTTTGCTCTTGCTTCTCTAGTTCTTTTAATTGTGATGTTAGGGTGTTGATTTTAGATCTTTCCTGCTTTCTCTTGTGGGCATTTAGTGCTATAAATTTCCCTCTACATACTGCTTAAAATGTGTCCCAGAGATTCCGGTACATTGTGTCTTTGTTCTCATTAGTTCCGAAGAACATCTTTATTTCTGCCTTCATTTTGCTATTCACCCAGTAGTCATTCCAGAGCAGGTTGTTCAGTTTCCATGTAGTTGTGTGGTTTTGAGTGAGTTTCTTAATCCTGAGTTCTAGTTTGATTGCACTGTGGTCTAAGAGACAGTTTGTTGTGATTTCTATTCTTTTACATTTGCTGAAGAGTGTTTTACTTCCAATTATGTGGTCCATTTTAGAAGAAGTGTGATGTGGTGCTGAGAGGAATGTATGTTCTGTTGATTTGGGGTGGAGAGGTCTGTAGATGTTTATTAGGTCTGCTTGGTCCAGAGCTGAGTTCAAGTCCTGGATATCTTTGTTAAGCTTCTGTCTCATTGATCTGTCCAACATTGACAGTGGGGTGTTAAAGTCTCCCATTATTATTGTGTAGGGGTCTAAGTCTCTTTGTAGGTCTCTAAGAATTTGCCTTTTGAATCTGGGTGCTCCTGTATTGGGTGCATATATATTTAGGATAGTTAGCTCTTCTTGTTGAATTGATCCCTTTACCATTATGTAATGGCCTTGTCTCTTTTGATCTTTGTTGGCTTAAAGTCTATTTCATCAGAGACCAGGATTGCAACCCCTGCTTTTTTTTTTGCTTTCCATTTGCTTGGTAGATCTTCCTCCATCCCTTTATTTTGAGCCTATGTGTGTCTTCGCACATGAGATGAGTCTCCTGAATACAGCACACTGATGGGTCTTCACTCTTTATCCAATCTGCCAGTCTGTGTCTTTTAATTGGGGCATTTACCCATTTACATTTAAGGTTAATATTGTTATGTGTGAATTTGATGGGTTTTGAATTTGGTGGGTTTTGATCTTCTTCCCCTTCTTGGTACTTGTCAATTTCTGCAATAAATTCAGACATGGACAGATGCATTAAGCTGATTCCCCTACACACATAACAATCCACTGTCTAATTCTCATACAAGGACCTCAGGCTCCTCAGCATAAGAATAGGACACTGTGAGAGATATATTTCAGGAGGCCTGAAGGCTGGTCATGATAGAGATTCCTTGGTTTTTGTCCCAGAAACTAAGGTAAAATGTCCCTATTCTGGTAGATCATTATCCCAATATCATTTGTTCCAAGTTTGTGCAAACGGTTATGCCATATTTTCCCAATCAATTTAAAGCAAATGCCCTCAATGGTTTCTAGGAAAAAAAATTGCAATCTTCAGCCCTTTCTCATCAAATACTCAGATTGTTCATGGTTGTGAGGATTTTTGACACTGAAATTAGATTGAAAAAGAAAATCTACAAACCCTTGAGTCAAAATCATAGTTCTCTGAATTTATCACATCTGCCCAGGTCCAATGTCTTCAGAGTAGAATCAGAGTGCCATGGGCATGGCCTGAGACTAGGAAGATAGCCATGCTCACTGACCCATCCCATGTCTGGGCTTCCACGTAGAACTAGAGTTTCACTGAACCTACATGTACCTATAGGTCCTCACTGTAGCAATGACATCTCTCAGCTCAGTAATGGCCACTTGGAGCAGGAATATGATCTCTATAAGGAAGACTCAGTGGATCCTTATTACCCTCATAGAAAGGTACTCACCGTCCACATCAAGAGAAAAGCCAATGTGTTATTCCTCCAATGAGTAAAAGGAATTTCCGTAGGACTGGCCTGAATTTGGTAGTTCAAGATAACTGGAAGGAGTCGAATAATAACTATTCAGTGAGTCCTGCAAGACTTCAGGCTCTACTACCTCCAGCAGTTCCCTGCTGAGCCTGGAAAAGCAGAAAAAGTAAAGAATAAGCCAGGGAAAAACAGACACAACAGAGCCCCAACTAGATTTCATGGGTAGGATAAGGAAGTGGTTAAAAAAGAAAAAGGATAGATCCATTAATGAGGTAACAAATTATTGCCTTCATATTGGGACAGTAAAGGGCCAAATGGAAAAGAATGAAAGAGAAAGACAGAGAGACAAAGAGAGAGAGAGAGAGAGCTCAGTGAATTGTCCAGGTGACACACTGATGAGGGAGTAACAGGACACTCTGAGTTAGTGCCCTCAGGACACACAGTATACAGTGATCATGAAAAGACTGTGCTCAATAATTTTCCATAAAATGTGCTCAAGATTCCATGCAGTCACCATGAGAATACAGCTTTTGAAGTATGGTCGGCCTATAGTAGGTTTGTAAATGATAAGGGGAGAAAGAAATGGAAACCTAAATATCTACTGCGATGAAAACCAACAGCAATGTTAGTAGGAATAATTCAGGCTTGGTTGAAAAGATGTAATTGATATTGTTGGCCCGCTCTGTTTTCTCTGAACCAGGAATCTCCAAGTGTCAATACAGAATTAGCTGTTCACAATTGCTCAAAGTTACCTGGGGCATGGTGGGCCTTGGTCTTCTTCCTCTTCTTCCTTTGTAATTCCTGCAATAAAATCAGACAGGGACAGGCAAAATAAGCCAATTCACCTAACCCATAACAGTCCACTGTCTAATCCCCACATGGGGACCTCAGGCTCTTCAGCATGAGAACAGGACAATATGAAAGATATACATCAGGAGGTCTGAAAGTCGGTCATGATAGAGATTCTTTGGTTTGCATTTCAGAACCAAGGGTGAAATATCCCTATTCTGGTAGATTGTTATCCCAAAATCATTTATCCCAAGTTTGTGCAAACAGTTATGCCTTATTGTTCCCATCAATTCAAAGAAAATGCCCCAGATGATTTCTAGGAGGAAAGCTGCAGTATCCAGCCCTGTCTCATCAAATACCCAGCTTGTTCATGGTTCCAAGAAACTGAAATTAGAATGAAGGAGGAAATCTACAAACCCTTGAGTCCAAATCATAGTTCTGTGAATTTCTTAAATCTGCCTGGATCCAATGTGCTGACAGTGGGATCAGGTTGCCACAGGCATGGCTGGAGACTAGGAATAGAGCCATGCTCACTGACCCATTTCATATCTGGGCTTCCAACTGAAACTACAGTTTCATTACAACCTATATGCGCCCATAGGTCCTGCCTGCAGCAATGACATCTCTCAGGTCAGTAAGGGCCACTTGGAAGAGGAATATCACCCCTATCTGGAAGGGGTGGAGCCTTATCTCCTTCATAGTAAGTTACTCACTGTCCACGTCAAGAGCCAAGCCAAGGTGCTGTTCCTCTAATGAGTAAGAGGCACTTCTGTAGGGCTGACATAAGTCAGGCAGTTCAAGATAACCAGGAGGAGTCGAATAACATCTATCCAGTGAGTCCTGTAAGACTTCAGCTCTTTCTCATCCAGTAGCTCCCTGCTGAGCCTGGAAAAGTAGGAAAAAGTGAAGAATAAGCCAGGTGGAATCAGAAACCACACAGCCCCAGCTAGATTTCATGTGTAACATAAGGAAGTGTTTGAGAAGAAAAAGGACAGATCCATTAATGAGGTAACAAATTATTGCCTTTATGTTGGGATAGACCAGGACCAGGTAGAAAAGCATGAAAGAGAAAAAGAGAGAGAAAGAAACACACACACACACACACAGCTCAGTGAATTGGCCAGGTGACACACTGATAAGGGAGTCAAAGGACACTCTGCATTTGTGCCCTCAGGACACACGGTGAACAGTGATCATGAAAAGAGTGGGCTCGATAATTTTGCATAAAATGTGCTTAAGTTTCCCTGCAGTCACCATGAGAATACAGCTTTTGAGGTATGGTCAACCTTCACTAGGTTAGTAAATGATAAGGGTAGGAAGAAATGGAAACCTAAACATTTACTGTAATGAGAACCAAAAGCAATGTTAGTAGGTGTAATTCAGATTTGTCTGACAGGATGAAATCATTATTTTCAGCATGTACTGTTTTCCCTGGACTTGGTGTCTCCAGGTGTCAACATCGAATTAACTGTCCACAATTTCTCAGACTCACCTAGGACCTGTTGCTTCTGCTGGTGATACCCAGGCAAACAGGGTCTGGAGTGGAACTCCAGCAAACTCCAACAGACCTGCAGCTGAGGGATCCACCTGTTAGAAGGAAAATTAACAAACAGAAAGGAATAGCATCAACATCAACAAAAGGACATCCACACCAAAACCACATCTGTACGTCACCATCGTCAAAGAACAAAATAGTAGATAAAACCACAAAGATGGGAGAAACCAGAGCAGAAAGGCTGAAAATTCCAAAAACCAGAAAGACTCTTCTTCTCCAAAGGAACTCAACTCCTCACCAGCAAGGGAACAAAACTAGATGGAGAATTAGTTTGACAAGTTGACAGAAGTAGGCTTCAGAAAGTTGGTAATAACAAACTTCTCTGAGCTAAAGGAGGATATGGAAACCCATCGCAAGGAAACTGAAAACCTTGAAGAAAGGTTAGATGAATGGCTAACTAGAATAAACAGTGTAGAGAAGACCTGAAATGACCTGATGGAGCTGAAAACTATGGCACAAGAACTACATGATGCATGCACAAGCATCAGTAGGTGATCTGGAAGAAAAGGTATCAGTGATTGAAGTTCAAATTAATGAAATCAAGTGAAAAGAGAAGTTTAGAGAAAAAAGAGTAAAAAGAAATGAACAAAGCCTCCAAGAACTATGGGACTACATGATAAGACCAAATCTACATTTGATTGGTGTACCTGAAAGTGACGGGGAGAATGGAACTAAGCTGGAAAACACTCTTCAGGATATTATCCAGGAGAACTTCCCCAACCTAGTAAGGCGGGCCAACATTCAAATTCAGGAAATACAGAGAATGCCACAAAGATACTCCTCAAGAAGAGCAACCCCAAGACACATAATTGTCAGATTCACCAAGGTTGAAATTAAGGAAAAAATGCTAAGGGCAGCCAGAGAGAAAGGACAGGTTACCCATAAAGGGAAGGCCATCAGACTAACAGCCTATCTCTAGGCAGAAACCCTACAAGCCAGAAGACAGTGGGGGCCAATAGTCAACATTCTTAAAGAAAAGAATTTTCAACCCAGAATTTCATATCCAGGCCCACCTTACAACAGCTCCTGAAGGAAGCACTAAACATGGAAAGGAACAACCGGTGCCAGCCACTACAAAAACATGTCAAATTGTAAAGACCATCGATGGTAGGAAGAAAGTGCATCAACTAACAAGCAAAATAACCAACTAACGTCATAATGACAGGATCAAATTCACACATAACAGTATTAACCTGAAATATAAATGGGCTAAATGTCCCAATTAGAAAACACAGACTGGCAAATTGGACAAAGAGTCAAGATCCATCAGTGTGCTGTATTCAGGAGACCCATCTCATGGGCAGAGAAACACATAGGCTCAAAATAAAGGGATGAAGATCTACCAAGCAAATGGAAAGCAAAAAAAAAAAGCAGGGGTTGCAATCCTAGTCTCTGATAAAACAGACTTTAAACCATCAAAGATCAAAAGAGACAAAGAAGGCCATTATTAAAGGGATCAATTCAACAAGAAGAGTTAACTATTCTAAATATATATGCACCCAATACAAGAGCACTCAGATTCATAAAGCAAGTCCTTACAGACTTAGAAAGAGACTTAGACCCCCCACACAATAATAATGGGAGAATTTAACACCCCACTGTCAATATTAGACAGATCAATGGACAGAAACTTAACAAGGATATCAAGGACTTGAACTCAGCTCTGCATTAAGCAGACCTAATAGACATGTACAGACCTCTCCACCCCAAATCAACAGAATATACATTCTTCTCAGAACCCCATCACAATTATTCTAAAATTGACCACATAGTTGGAAGTAAAGCACTCCTCAGCAAATGTAAAAGAAGAAAAATCAGAACAAACTGTCTCTCAGACCACAGTGAAATAAAATTAGAACTCAGGATTAAGAAAGTCACTCAAAACTGCACAACTACATGGAAACTGAACAACCTGCTCCTGAATGACTACTGGGTAAATAACGAAATGAAGGCAGAAATAAAGATGTTCTCAGAAACCAATGGGAACAAAGACACAATGTATCAGAATCTCTGGGACACATTTAAAGCAGTATGTAGAGGGAAATTTATAGCACTAAATGCCCACAAGAGAAAGCAGGAAAGATCTAAAATCGACACCCTAACATCACAATTAAAAGAACTAGAGAAGCAAGGCAAACAAATTCAAAAGCTAGTAGAAGACAAGAAATTACTAAGATCAAAGCAGAACTAAAGGACATAGAGACACAAAAAAACCCTTCAAAAAAAATCAATGAATCCAGGAGCTGGTTTTCTGAAAAGATCAACAAGAAAACCCTGTTTGGCTAGTTCATCTGGCTCATCTGATTGCAAGTTCCTATCTTGAGAGGACTATGAAATTAAAACCAATACAAGTGCCACAAATAACACACATTGTTAATAACGACAATTTGTAACTGGGTGAATGGAAGAAATATTTCTATTCATCACTTCCTCGTTTTCCCTAAATCTACAATCTCCTGGTGTCACTACTGAATTAACAGCCCACAATTCCACAGCATTACCTGGGAGACACTGGCCCTTTTTCTTCCTCTTCTTCATGATCACTTTCATTTTCTGTAAATAAATTCAGAGAAGAGGTCACATTAAGCAATTCACACTTCACATATGACCAAATCACTGTATAGTCATAGCACAAGAACATAACTATTCTCAGTGCAAGAATATGGATTCTGATAGGAATATTCTAGGGTGCCCTAGATTAAGTCTGGTGAGAAGTAGATGACCCTGCTTTCCAGACCCACAGGTCAAAATCTCCCTCTCTGTGTAGACCATAATGCCATATTCCCTGCCTGAGTCAAAGTTAAACAAAAGTTTTCCCCAAAAAAATCTCTGAAAACTGGTCAAACAATTTTCTAGGAGTGTTGCTGCAATGCTGACTTATATTACCAGGTAATATGGACATTAAATGTTTAGAGGCATCTACACATGAAACTTGACTGATAAATAAATTAGAACAACTCTTGCTTTAAAAAGAATCTGTGATTTGGGAGGCCAAGACAAGTGAATCATTTGAGGTCATGAATTCAAGACCAGCCTGGCCAATATGGGGAAACCCCATCTCTACTAAAAATACAAAAATTAGCCAGATGTGGTGGTGTGCACCTGTGGTCCCAGCTACTCAAAAGGCTGAGGCAGGAGAATCACTTGAATCTGGAAGGCGGAGGTTGCACCAAGCCAAGATGGTGCCACTGCACTCCAGCCTGGGTGACAGAGCAAGACTCCATTGCAAAAAAAAAAAAAAAAAAAAAAAAATCTATGACGCTATAAAGAAACAACATTGGATCAGCCATTGCGCTGATGAGGTGGAGAACCAGGGTCCAGCCTTGCTTTATGGAAATATATCAGCAAAGTAAAGAAGAAAAGTTTCTGTCCTGATTTCAAGGTGACTGCGCAGCTAAGCAAGCTGACTTACAGGAGATCAAGATTAAAGCTGAGAGCAGTGAAGCCTGGAGAACAATATTTCCAAATACAAAAGCAAGGCTGCCAGCTTCCTTAAAAAGGCATAGGAACTCCGTGGACATTGTTCAGGGACAGATGACTTAATCACAGATGACAAGAAATACTGAATCAAAGCTAGGAGGCCTGACAGATACTTCCTGTGCATCTCCTGCACAGATGACTATGAGATCATCACACTTGCGTAGGGTCCAGTAACTTGATACTGGGGACTGGCAGACAAAGGCATGACATGAGTTGAGAAAGACAAAAAAACTCACTGATATCTGTGTTTAGAATCCGATTGGAGTTCTTTATTCAAACCAATTTGTGCGTATAGAGCCTGTCTTCAGAGTTTATCTTCCTCAGCCTAGACAGAGGTATGAGACACAAGGAATACAGAGGCTACCTGGGATAATTTGTACAACATCCTCCCATTCATCCTGAGAGGATGAGTCAATGACAGTTGAGTCGACTTTGTCTTCCTCAAATGTGATTTTGGTGTTTCTGTGTGGCTTGTTGGAGTCACAGGGGCTGTGCTATTTGAACAAGGGACGGCACACACCTCCAGTGAGTCCTCAGGGATTTCCCTTTCTTCAGCCTTCTGCACCTCCCTGATGAGCCAGGTGGGACAGAGATGGCAGAAGATTAAACACAGAGGGATTAGACCCCCAGGGAGTCCTAGCTGGTTTTGACAAGAGGCATTAAGAGAGTGGTCCCAGAAAGCAAACAGGAGGTTCCCTTTGAGAGGGAACAGGCAAATCTCTTCTCTCTGCAACAGACCATGGCTGCCATGGGAGCCAGAGAGGAAGAGAGCAACTGGTGTTCATTGCACTGGACAGATAGGAGCTGAGGAGGATGAAGACTCAGCTATCCCTGTACCGTACAGACATGACACTCAGCACATACAGAGAAACACAACACAACAGCTGCTATACCCTGTGTCTAAGCTGGGTTGAATTTCACATACTGTGGCTAAGGGAATGCAGGCCTATCGGGAGAACCCGCTCCCGATGTTTAAAGTGGGTTCTTTTCTATTTCCTAAGTGTCTCGGCTGGGTTGAGAAATAAAGGGAAAGAGCACAAGAGAGAGAAATTTAAAGTTGGGTGTCCAGGGGAGACATCACATGTCGGTAGGATCCGTGATGTTCCCCAAGCCGTAAAACCAGCAAGTTTTTATTAGCGATTTTCAAAAGGGGAGGGAGTGCACGAATAGGGTATAGGTCACAGAGATCACATACTTCACAAGGTAATAAAATATCACAAAGCAAATGGAGGCAGGGCTAAATCGCAGGACCCCCAGATGAGGTGAAATTAAAATTGCTAATGAAGTTAGCATTAGCAATTTTTTTTTTTTTTTTTTTGTTTTTGAGACGGAGTCTCCCTCTGTCCCCCAGGCTGGAGTGCAGTGGCCGGATCTCAGCTCACTGCGAGCTCTGCCTCCCAGGTTTACGCCATTCTCCTGCCTCAGCCTCCTGAGTAGCTGGGACTACAGGCACCCGCCACCTCGCCCAGCTAGTTTTTTGTATTTTTTTTTTTAGTAGAGATGGAGTTTCACCAGGTTAGGCAGGATGGTCTCGATCTCCTGACCTCGTGATCCGCCTGTCTCGGCCTCCCAAAGTGCTGGGATTACAGGCTTGAGCCACCACACCGGGCCAGCATTAGCAATTTTAATGACGCATTGTCATTGATAACGTCTTACCAGGAAACAGGGTTTGAGAGCAGATAACCTGTCTGACCAAAATTTATTAGGTGGGAATTTTCCTCCACTTAATAAGCCTGGGAGTGCTATAGGAGACCGGGGCTTATTTCATCCCTTCGGCTTCGACCATAAAAGACGAGAGGCCTTAAAAAGGGGCCCAGTCTATAAGCCTACCTTCAGGGCGCATTCTCTTTCTCAGGGATGTTCCTTACTGAGAAAAAGAATTCAGCGATATTTCTCCTATTTGCTTATGAAAGAGGAGAAATATAGCTCTGTTCCATCCGGCTCACCAGCAGCCAGTTCAAAGTTACCTCTCTTGTTCCCTGAACATTGCTGTTATTCTGTTCTTTTTTTAAGATGCCCAGATTTCATATTGTTCAAACATACATGCTCCACAAAAAATTTGTGCAGTTGATACAATCACAGAGTCCTGAGGTGATATTCATCCTCCTCAGCTTACGAAGAAGATGACAGGATTAAGAGATTAAAGTAAAGACAGGCATAGAAAAACACAAGGGTATTGACTGGGGAAGTGACAAGTGTGCATGAAATCTTCACAATTTATGTTCAATGATTACAGTAAAGACAGGTGTAAGAAATTATAAAAGTATTAATTTGGGGAACTAATAAATGTCCATGAAATCTTCACAATCTATGTTCTTCTGCCACGGCTTCAGCTGGTCCCTCCGTTCGGGGTCCCTGACTTCCCGCAACACAGGGCTTTGGCCTATCATAGCTGCCAGAGAGGGTGTGCCTCCTAGACCTTTTTCATATGTTACAACCCATTACTTACTCCTGAGTATTCAGTGTTACCTGGGGGCACATGATTCCTGTACTTTCTCTGCCTCCTCAACTTTAACATCTTCATCCTCATCTTCATCATTTTCTGTAAATACAGAAGTGTTCATTCAGATAGTTCCCACTTCACACTCTATAAGCACAGTCAGCCCAATGTGCACAGAAACATGAACATCTAGGCATGAGTCATCGTTCAACTGAAATCTCTCATGTTTTATCTTTAACAAAATGCCCTGGCATGGTTTACAGATCCATCAGGCAATGCATTTCTGATCTGGAGGGCCACCATCAAGATGTGGCCAAATATTGAAAAGACCTTTTGCTCCCCATATCACTGGAGGCTTGTGCAGCCTCTCTCTGGACTTTGGCAGCTGTCTTCCCCATCCTGCCACAGATCTGGTTCCCAGGCACAGACTTGGTGTCCTGTCATAGTTCGCATTTCAAACCTAATTCTTTCTCTTAGGAGAGGACAAACTTGTCCCACAGTCCTCTATGCATCAGGAGACTGCACAGGCCCCCCATGTGGCTTCTGCTGTGTTATTCAGGGACATTCTCTCCATGGGGAGTGCTCCAGTCTGAAGCACTTCCTACCACCAAATGCCCCCACATCAACTGCCTTCTCCAACACCACACAGTGAGGGGCTTCATCTCATTTTGAAAAGCAGTCATTAAGTGTTCCCACATTTGGATGCTTCAGACCCTTGCAAGAGACAATTTGCCTGCCTTTGCAGATGGAGACAGAGAAACTCAGGAAGGACAAATCACTCACTGACAGTTACTAAGAACATTGCTGAAGAGACAGCCTGGGAACCTTCGTTCTTAGTCCAGAGCTCTTTTCACTCTAACAAGCGCCCTCCTGTCACGGCCTCCTTCTTGTCCTTTAAAACCAGATAGATGCTGCCTCTTGCTCCAAAGACCACCTTCCATCAAGGAAGGAGGGACATTTGTAATACTGTGACCTCCAACCCCATGGGTTTCCCATCTCTGTTCTTACCCAGGAAGTCCTGGTCATGTCATAGCCACATATGTTTAGTGGAAAAAACACCACCGATACAACTGTCATTGTGAAAGTATGCAGGTCTGGAGTCTCTCACAAGCCTGGGGTTTTGGGTCATCAGGGCCTATGGCCACCATACCTGGGCTGAGCTTTTGGACAAGGTGCTGTGCCAGCCTACACCCTTCAGCCAGCTGTTCTTGGAGGTCCTGCCCTGGGACTTGTCTGGCTCATCCGGAGCGAGGAGGGCCTGGACATGCTGATTCGATGAGCAGGAGGCATCTCTCCCTTCCCATAACATCTCCCTTAACTGGGTCAGCTCTCGTTCCTGAGAGTGAACCAGGACTTTATATTGCCTAAGGTGAGACAGTAGAGAAAATTTAACAGTGGAAAGGGATGAGTGGTCAGTTCTAATATTGCAACAGAGATTTCTGAGACAATGTCCTCAAGGAGACCTCCAAGCAGAAGGTCAGCACATGTTTAAAGGAATGTCTGTGGCCAAGAGAAAGAATACAAAATGGTTTACAGCCTTCCTCTATATCAGAGAGGCCTCCTGTAAGATCCTCGATGATGTTCCATTAGTCTTTCTCTTCTGTAAACAAAAGTAGGTGTCTTCCTAATTCCGCTTCAAAAAGACATCCTTTCAGTTCCTCACTCTGGCCATGGACAATTCCATGTGAAAATACACACAGTGCATCTTGCGGCGACTAGATACAAAGCCATGTACAGAAATGAGGCCAGGTGCAGATGGGGCGAATTGAAAAGATGAAACAAGAAAATAATGACAGGGTCGAGAAGGCAACATTGATTGAGTGAAAGAATGAGAAGCTGCAGTCAGTCAGGAGCTGATTCTCACTAAGGGTAAGTGGGGTGGTGAAGGCACACCATTTTGAGTATACTGAATGCTGCTGGGTGGTTCCCAATCCTTTGGTTAATTTTGTGTTATGCAAATTTCACCTCAACAATTACTTGTTTGAGAAAAAGAAAACAAGGCTCTGAGAAACAACTGCAACCCATAACTTACTATTATCCTTGTTCTCTGTTGGATAAATATTTGTGTGTCATGAGCCTGCCATGGCAATTCCTGCCCTTCCCCTGGCCCAGCTTAGCTCTTACTTTTCCCCACTGAGCTGCTGTACTTCAGAGATTTACACACCTGCCCACCTGCCTACCCCCACAGGATCCCCTCACCTGAGCTCCTTAGCCTGCCTGAGCTGCTCTGCAACCTTCTCCTCCTTAAACTGAAGCTTATCCCTCAGCATAGATTTTATGAGGTCTTTGCACTCTTCATACTCTGAGAAAAGACAGACATGCCTGCCTCAGTGGAAGGCTGGACATGCTGCTGTGGTCACTGCCTACAGGGCAGGAGTCAGGTCCATCCCAAGGACAAAACTGTCCCCAGTACCAGGCTCTAGGAAGGGATTTCCACATCTTTACTCTTCAGTCTCCTGACTTTCTAGCATCTGTTTCTCCAAAATTTAGAAACGAAGAAAGAGAAACTCAAGAGCACATCAAGGAAATTGACCAGATGATTCAACCACAATGAAGTGGAGTCAGAATTCACAGCCCCTGAGGTCTGACTCTGAATGTGGAGCCACTTGTCCAAGCCTTGCAGCCTCTCCTCTAAAACACTGCACTGGGGCATGAAGTAGTGATTTCTTGTATGGTTGGAAAGGCCCCTAGGACTATGGGACAGATGGTTTCCCTTTACCGGGAATTTCAAAGAAAAATACGTCAAAGATTTTTAAAATATTTGATTTTTAAATCATAATCGTATCTGAAGCATAAAGTATGAGACATAAGGCCATGAGGGAAATATGCCCAAATACAAATAAAGCTTGTGTTAATTTAGAAACAGTAGAATAAAGAACTAATAGATAGTGTTTACTCTGTGCCAATAAATGTTCTAGGAGATTGACAAGAAATAGCTCATGTAATTCACTGCAGCAATTTACAGAGGTAGGTATTATTGTAGTATTGTATGAACAGATGAGGAAACTGAGGGACAGACAAGACAAGCAACTTGGATGGAGCCCAGGAGACAGCCCCAGGGTCCCTGCTCTGCACACTGCACTGCTACTTCCACACATTCTTGGGTGTGATCTTTCTTCCTCTTTAGGAACAAGAGCCTGTGCCCTAGGACTTCCCTCTTACCAGAGTACTCTCTGCTGTTTATTTTTTTATTTTTGTTTGTTTGTTTGTTTATTTATTTTTGACCAGTCTTGCCCTGTCACCCAGGCTAGAATGTAATGGCACAATCTTGGCTCACTGCAACCTCTGCCTCCTGGGTTCAAAGGATTCTCCTGCCTCAGTCTCCCGAGTAGTGGGGATTACAGGCACCTGCCACCATGCCCAGCTAATTTTTGTATTTTTAGTAGAGATGGGGTTTCTCCATGTTGCCCAGGCTGATCTCAAACTCCTGACCTCATGATCTGCCCACTTCGGCCTTCCAAAGCGCTGGGATTACAAGAGTGAGCAACTGTGCATGGCCCCTACTCCCTCCTCTTGATTCTGTCACTTACAGATACCACAGGTTCTATTAGGAGCAGAGTCTTCTTGAAGCTCCTCAGAGCAGGTACTGGGCACTATCACCAAGTTTCCCTCAGGGTCACTAGAACAGAGCTTTGCCTATAGGGCCTCAACAGAAGCTTGAACTGAATGAAAGTTCACTAGTCCCAGACATTTAGAACAGACTAGACGTTATTTGTCTGCAGGATTTTATATGGTACAGACAGTAGTCTTGAAAACATGATTTAGCCTCTTGGAGAAAACAGGTCGTTCTGTGCCTGTGACAGAAATCAACTGAGATTTTAATTCTAGTCCCACCCCCACCTAACTGTAAGTATGGAAAGTTGTTAAATACTTTGGTACCTCTGTCTTCCAACTTTAACAAAATGCTAAAACACCCATTTCTATTTTCCTAGAAGTACGGGAGGGATGAAATTATTTTTGATGGAGAGTGCATTTAGTTTCTCAGAGAGAAGACAGGACATCATTCATCACTTTTGTGATGGTGAGCCTATTGAACTTATGGTATGTGTTCTGCTGGTTGGCCAGGAAGTAGGCCACTTGAGTTATAAGAAATTTCTCTTTGATATTTCTGAACTGCTGTTTGTTCTCTGCCAGCTGGGGATGCAAATTCTCACTGATTTCTAGAATGTTCATCTCTGCCTTCTCACTGGACCAAGGGCCAGCAGATAACACCATGCTGACATTTGTTGCAGAAAAGGTGGAGCTAGGGACTGGGGAGAATAAACACAAACACAGGACGGGTTAAAAACTGGTGAAATCAAATAGGTTTAATTAGGACTGAGGGATGTCAGTAACTAAAATTCTTAACTTACTGTTGAGAAAAACGAGATCAGTCCCCACAGCACTTTAGGATCCTTAACCACAAAACCAAGGTTTGAGGTGCCTGAGCTCAGAGCTGAAGGCACTGCCAGTCACTCAGTCTCTGACAACAGTGAGGATGATTGTGGCCAGCATGCCACGTAACCATCTGCAGTTGCAATAACAGAATTAGAAGGTGGGGGTGTCATGGAATCTTAGGATCCCTGCATTCCAATTGCCCAGGCTTTGCTGAAACACAGGCACCCTGGTCTCACCTGAGGGCAACCACCAATGGGGATCATTCCTTCAGCATTCACTCTCAGTATTCATGTACCCTTGTGACAATGCCACCGACCCATCTCTTTCCCAATACATCTAAGCATATTCCTCACTGTTTATCTCTTGTCCGTACAACATCATCAAGGCAGAAACATTTCCCAACAGGTTATATGAATTCCTTATATACTCTAGGTACTAGACTCCTGTCAAATATATAATTTGGAAATAGTTCTCCCATTATGTGGATTATCTTTTCACTTCCTTGACAGTGTCATTTGAAGCATATAAGATTTTTATTTTAATGAAGTCCATTTATCTATCTATTTTTGGGTTGTTTGTGCCTACCTAAAAAATGTCTAATCCAAAGTCACAAAGATTTGTACCTATGTTTTTTCTTCAAGACATTGTTTTTTGAATGAGAACTTTCCTGGGTTTTAGTGGAGGGTGGACATTGTTTATTTATGCCTCCTGTCCATTACCAATGTTTGTCCTGATTGTTATTCATATGCTCACCACCCCTCCATGGAGCACCCCATGGCCTGTAACAGAGCTCTGGGGACCGATATCCTTCCACTGACTTTGGCGCTAGTGAGAGCCCTGGTCATGTGGCTCAGCTTGGCCTTAACCCAACCCAATTGCACATATTCCTCAGGGCCTTCAGAGTTGAAGTTGAGAGCCTCTCTGAGAACGCTTGCCAGCCCATGCTGTTCTAAGGCTGGAGCAAACTTCCTCCGTCTATTCCGGACAGAGGGGACTGCAGGGGTTGGACTCAGTCAAGACATCTCTGGTGTTAGAAAGTAGACCTGTTTCAGGGTTTGGGGAAGATTGTTCAATATGAACTAGGTCCTCTCTAATTATTTTTACCGTATGTGTGACTTCTTTCTAGAAACAAAGGAAAAATATTTATGTTAGAACATTTTGTCTATTCTTTGTCAATTGTTGTTTGTCTACAATTTTAACATTATCCACGTTAAAGAAGAGCTCAGTGTAAATATATTCTTAAAAATTATGGTTCATGTCCACTACCATGCAATCATATTTAAATCCATGAACAATCCTGTTACTTAGGTATTATCCTGCTCCTGATGAGAAAACAAACTCAGAAAAATTGCAAAATTTCCATAGGTCACAAAACTAGTGACGAGAGGAAAAAGAATTAGAAACCAGTTCCTTTTGGCCTTCAAAGCTACTCTTGTACCATTAGATCAAACTGATTTACATACTTTTGCTGGAATTAGTCTCAGAGTTTGTGGTTCTCACTTGATTTTCCCAAGGAAACAGTGTGCCACTTTAATATCATTTCAAACTTTGAAATTTAAAACTTTTTATTATACTTTTTTTAAAAAAATTATACTTTTTTGTCTTTGTTCTATTCCATTGCTTTTGGTTTCTTCTCAATGGATCCCTCTTATTTATATGCTAAATATTTGCTACCTATTTTCTGTCAATTTTCACTTTTTTTTTTTTTTTTGAGACAGAGTTTTGCTCTTGTTGCTCATGCTGGAGTGCAATGGCACAATCTTGGCTCACCGCAACCTCTGCCTCCCAAGTTCAAGGGAGTCTCCTGCCTCAGCCTCCCGAGTAGCTGGAATTACAGGCATGCACCACCATGCCCAGCTAATCTTTTGTATTTTTAGTAGAGACGGTTTCTCCATGTTGTTCAGGCTGATCTCGAACTCCCGACCTCAGGTGATCTGCCCACCTCAGCCTCCCAAAGTGCTGGGATTACAGGCGTGAGCCACCACGCCCGGCCAATTTTCACATTTTTGAGTGTTTGTTATCTCTCTCTTTGTTGTATGCTAACAGTTCTTCACTGAGGTATAATTTGCAGAGAGTATACTGCAAAAAACCTAAAAGTACAGCTTAACACATTTTAATATAATTAGACATTGTATAATAACACCCAGTTAAAGACAGAGAACATTTTCCCCCATGCCACAAAGTTCTGATGTGGTCCTTGCCAGTCAATACTCATCCCCCATATGAAGAATATATTCTGAATGTTGTCACTGCCTTAGTCCTTTTGTGTTGCTGGAAAGGAACACCAGAGGCTGGGTAATTTATAAAGAAAAGAGATGCATTTTGCTCATAGTCCTGCAGGCTGCACAAGAAGCATGGCACCAGCATCTGCTCCTAATGAGGGCCTGAGACTGCTTCCACTTGCAGCAGAGGTGAAAAGGAACCAGTGTGTGCAGAGATTATACGGTGAGAGAGGAAGCAAAAGAGAGTAAAGGTGAGAGGCACTTTTTAATAACTAGATCCTACAGGAACTGAGAGTGAGAATTCACTCACTACATTCTCCCAGGGTGGGGTTTAATCTATTCATGAGGGATCCGCTCCCATGACCCAAACACCTACCATTAACCCCCACCTCCAACACTGGGGACCACATTTAAACATGTGATTTGGAGGGGACCAATATTTAAACTATAGCAGCCACCATAGATTAATTTTGCTTATTCATGTGCTTCATAAAAATGGAATCATTTTGGTCAGGCCTGGTGGCTCACACCTGTAATCCCAAGACTTTGAGAGGCTGAGGTGGGCAGACCACCTGAGGTCAGGAGTTCAAGACCAGCCTGGCCAACATGGCAAAACCCTGTCTCTACTGAAAATACAAAAATTAGCCACACGTGATGGCAGGTACCTGTAATCCCAGCTACTTGGGAGGCTGAGGCAGGGAAA